TTAATTGAAAGATAATACCAGTATTCACAGAATCACAGAATATTCAAGGCTGGAAGGGACCTCTAGAGATCATCTAATCCAACCTTCCTGCTCAAGCAGGCACACCTAGAGCAYGGGGCACAGGGYGGCATCCAGGCGRGTTTTGAAGACCTCCAGAGAMGGAGACTCCACAACCTCCCTGGGCAGCCTGTTCCACTGCTCTGTCACCCTCCCAGTAAAGAAGTTCCTCCTCACCTGGAGATGGAACYTCCTGTGCTCCAGSTTATGCCCATTTCCCCTTGTCCTATCGCTGGCCACCARTGARAACAGCYTGYCCCCTTCCTCCCTGCATTCTCSCTTCCTGAACTTATACACATTAATCAGATCCCCTCTCAGCCTTCTCTTCTCCAGAGAAAACAGGCCCAGCTCACTCAGCCTCTCCTCGTACAAGAGATGTTCCATTCCCTTAATCATCTTAGTTGCTCTTCTCTGGACCCTCTCRAGAAGCTCTACGTCCCCCACGTATTAGGCATGTATGTGTAGTCTAGACTATACTACATCCACTAGATAAATTTTACACTTCTCAACTCTCCGACTTACCTCCCTTCCTCCTGCATGCCTTCATGCCATTGTTGTTTGCTGTTACAAATGTGCACCTACATCACTACCCTTAGAAACATGACCTAAAATTCTCTGCCAAGCACTCTTTCTAGAAGATGAACCTAAGGTTTGGATGGTGCTGATCTGCACTTGCAGCTTATCTGCATTTTATCAAGAGTAATGAAAGAAATAGATAACAAAAACGAGCCAGTCAAACTGACCAGATCTGCAGGGGGCTGCAGAATAAGCCCCATTTAGCCAACAGTAACAGCAGACATGATGACTAGGGACAAGCAGCTATGGCACCAACAAGCAGCAGTACCAAAAGATGAGAGTAAAACAACTTCACTACCTCCAGAACAGAGAAACTCCTTTTACAGGGAGATTGATGTGTTTTAAAGTGAAATCCAATGTTGCTGAAGGACACTAGCAACTCCTTTCCCTTCTGCCCTTTGTTTTGCATTCTTGCACGTTTTTAGAGCYGGTCAAGCAAATTCCATACCAGTTTATCAGTCAGTTAACAAGCTATAATACCCTGACTGCATACCAAACTCAAATATTTGTGTAGCACTGCCTTTTTATAAGKCCTCATCAACATTTTAAATAAGATAACATTCTTATCTCTATAACCCAAGATATTTTGTAACTTCACCCCATCTATCACACCTCACATATCTTTTAATAAATTTTATCTTTTAGATAGAAAGCAATGAATATGCTTTCTGTCCTTATTTACCCACTTACCATCATCGTTATCCATTCCTTTTTTTTCTGTTCAATGCCTGTAGCATAAAGGAAATTATAACACTGGAACCATCCTAAATTCTCTAATAGTATCTAAGGGTGTTATAAGCAACTTAATGGAAAAGATAGGCTGCAAGACTCATTAGCCTAGGCTCACACTTTAATTTTACCATGTATAGTCATACAAGCAGCACACACTGGATTGTTTTGTGTGTGTGTGTTTCTTTTCTTAGGAAGCAGAACAAAACTCAGTCTGAAAAGGCTTCAATTGATCTTCCTTCCTGCAGTCTGGGCTAGCTGATATTTTCCAAAACATAAAAGACAAAAGCTGCATTAAGCTGCATTAGGCTGCAAACGAATGGCTGTTTAGCCCCACCTAATACCCTATTATTAGCAGTTGATGTAAGTAATCCCACATGTGGCAACACCCACATTCAGGTCGCACAGAATGCGCATCCCTGCTGCTTGCAGATGTTTCTTTGAAATGCTGAGCAGTGAAACAATGCAAGAGGGACATGACATTTCATTTCCATTTGGTGGCCTGTCATAGGTACCCTTGCATAAAATATTATTCTTGGCTAGATATTATAATTGCCTGAATCAAACTATCCTTTTACCTGACCACAAATTACAGCACAGCCTTGCTTCATCTTGCCTAAACTTCTGAAGCTATCTTAATAAACCAGTTTATTTGATTCTGTATCACACCTTTATGTTATGTTTAACCTAACATAACCTAGGCTAGGCTCTTCGCACAACCACAGAAGGAAGGATTCTAAGGAACACTCCTGAATTTCAGACTCATACATCAGATGGAGACAGGAGGCAGGGAAAAGAGAAGCTTCTGTGCTCACATCACAAGACTTTTTTGAGGTCTAACAGAGAAGYAGCAACCTATTAACTCATCTTTAACCCTCAACCAGCAAGGCTTCAAGAACACTGCATTCATCAGAAGCAAACATCCAGATGGCTACGCTTATGCTCAGCTGAAGCTTTAAAGTGTAAAGCTGCAGAGACACGTGCGCAGAGCTGACACTACAGACCAGTACTGCACTGCTGTGTGCCTTGTGGCTGGCCTGCTATGAGGTTAAACTCAGTGCAAGGCACTCAGTGCTGCAGCTGTTTCTTTCCGATACGGTCCAAATGATTATTCTCTGTGAYCACATCCAATAAGCAAAGACAAAAATTGCTGCCTTCCTGAAGTGCAGCAAAACTTCAACAACAATGTGTGCATTTCCCCCATCAGTGAAAGTCCTCACTTTACCAACAAGGTCTAGCTGCAATCTGAGGATGTGCTGAAGTGTGACCCAAGTTACTGCAGCTCCTCAAAGTGCTAGGTGGGGTTTCYCAACAGTTTCCATCTCTCCCGAGTCAGGTCTCTCTCAGCTAGCTTCCCTTCTCCTTCAGTCAACAGGCTGGGATGTAAAATCCAGCATCAGCCAAATGACAATGGGCAAGTTCCTCATGTTTCAGAAAGACTTCAGTTACCYTTGGTGCATATTAAGGAGATGTGAAGAGAACAAGTCTGATGAAAATGGTAGATGAAGAAAATACAGATACTGCCATAAAAATGGACAGCTGTGCCTTACAAGGTACTGAAGGCTTCTAATATATACAGTAAAAACAGCCCTCATRTCTGACCTCTATCATTAGACATTAGAAAACTCCTCCTGAACAGCAACTGTCACCTTTATGCAACACACTGATTTGAAGTTGGATAAGCAGGGTGATAAATCCACTGATATGAGATGCCATAGCTGCTTCCCAATAAAATGCAAAGTAAGAGCAAGGAGCTCAAAGACCTTTAGAGCTTTGCGACACAAAAGGTAGGATCTTATGCCACTGCACACCGAGAAGCATTTTAAAGCACAACACTTTGATACAAAAGTACATGTAAAACAAGAAAGAGGGCAGAGACWCTGCTGAAGATTGATGTAGCTTTAATGATGTTCCTTCAGAGGATTTTAGAACTAGAGCAGGGTCTAACAGCAGCAATCACACACACACAAACTCTTTGCAAATACAAGATTTGTCCTTTAAAACATGCTTTAATGACATGACATGACTGGAGCGTACAGAATTTATATTACATAAAGATTTTAAAGTCCAAATGATTTCAATATTTTAAATTTTCCAATACACAGAATAAGTGCCAAATATTGTTTCAAAAATGTGCATACATTTACACAGTCTGCCATTATCTAAACTGACCTATCAGTGCATCTTACATTACTCACCTCTAGCAGCTTTATYGGTCAGAACTCGGTTAGCAAAACTGGTGACCTCAAATCACCTTCTTTCCAGAATGCTACGGAATCACATTTGGGACTTTTCCTGCATCACTCCTATATAGTGACTATTTGTRTTAAATTTAAAGATGTGATTCACTGTAAATTGAACTTGCTATGATGTCAGGCACTGTGCCACCCCACTGCCATCGTCCACATTCTGTATTAGTTTGGCTGTACAAGACAGTGACAAACGCTGCTGTAACCAGATGTGACTGCGTGTACACGCAGGAGCTGCATTATTAAACATGGGCTGTGCAAGAGCCCCCGGCAAACTCTGAAGGGAGGATATTCAAAAAGAAAAGCCAGCATGGGAACATGTTTGCAGTATGTAGCTCTAGTGCTTTGTAACAACTGTCTAGTGCACTCTGTATGCAGTGCTCTCAGCCTCCTGGCGATGCACACATGTCAAGACTTGTTTGGCTGAGACATAAAGCAACTCCAGAGAGTCCCTCCCTTGCTGCTTGTGGGCACCTATGTGCATACACGTTTGTGTACATGCACACACACTCACTCACTCTCTCCTAATGCACTTCTCTCCCTGATGCATCGCACAATTGACAGGAACACCCTGTGCAATATCAAGCTTCAGGCTCAACACCAGCATATCCACCTCCCCCTGTTACATCACGGCCAGATAATCTCTGCAATGAGAACAGCCTATTCAAAACAGCATACAGGGGAGGTGCAAAGTCACTGGCAGAGTAAGCCAAGCTCAGTAAAGCGACACATCTGCATCCATGTACTGTCCAAACAGAAGAAAATGGAAGGGCAAGTCAGCCAGATGGCTCAAAAGACTGAAAGGCAACTTGTTACACAGTCTGTAACTGTGAATCCACACTGGTTTCTAGAAATGCATCAGTGCTGTGCTTCTAGACACATGTGCTCCTTTTTTTTTATGTGACAGGTCCTGAAACAAAGCCACTGACTCTAAAATGCCACCCAAGGTGAATGTGACCCAGCAGCACTGAGGTGCACTTCTACTGGCTGCTCTGTTCTGCCATACAGTGCTAGGACAGCACTAAAGGGATTTTAAATACGTCTGGGATARGAGGGTGGAGGAAAGCAGGAGAGTAAGGTGTCCAGACAGAGAGGCTGTAACATTATGTCATGCGTTTACACSGCTCCAATTCTCTGGAAACAGCAGCCAGGCCAAGCACGGTCGGGCCGTGCTGCTTATCCAGACTGTCCTCCCTGCGGTGCTCGTGAGCCAGCACTGACACAGCCCTTGCTCAGGCTAAGTGCCACACCGCCTCAGGTTATTTACCTCCTGCTTCCCCCTCCTCCAAAGAGCTTCCCCAGCTGCACCAGCACCCGGCACCCACAACAGGGGCAGGCGGGGGAGCAGGGAGGGCAGAGGAGGCCAGCAACGCGCCGCCGTGCCCTTACCGTCTCGGGGTCGTTCTCGAACACCTCCCGCGCCTCCTCCTTGTTGCAGTGCTCCTCCACGCACTCCCGCTCCAGGTGCCCCTGCTTGGTCTCCTCGAAGATCTGRTAGGCGCGGCGCTGCCTCTGCCGCAGGAACTGGGCCGCCTCCGGCGCGCGCAGCAGCACGGCTGGGCCGCGGGCAGCCGTGAGGGGCCGCGCCGCGCAGCGCCCCCCGCGCGCCAACCGCCACCCCGTGGGCTCCAACCGTCACTGGCGGGCGCCAGCGGTCACCCGCGCGGGCTCCAACCGTCACCCCGCGGGCTCCAACCGTCACTGGCGGGCGCCAGCGGTCACCCGCGCGGGCTCCAACCGTCACCCCGACAGCACCAACCGTCACCCCGACAGCACTAACCGTCACCCCGACAGCACTAACCGTCACCCCAGGCGGGCTCCAACGGTTATCCCAACAGAACCAACCGTCACCCCAGGCGGGCTCCATTGATTACCCCGGGAGCTCCAACCGTCACCGGGGCGGGCGCCAGTGGTCACCTGGGCGGGCTCCAACGGTCACCCCGGGAGCACCAACCGTCACCCCGGGCGGGCTCCAACGGTTACCCAGGAGCACCAACCGTCATCCCCACAGCACCGTCACCCCGGGCGCGCTCCAACGGTCACCCCGGGAGCACCAACCGTCACCCCGGGCGGGCTCCAACGGTCACCCCGGGAGCCCCAACGGTCCCGCGGGGCGAGCTCCAACGGTCACCCGGGGCGCGGACCCTGTCGCGCCCCCCCGCTCGCCGCCCCGCGCGGCGGGAGATGCTCGTGGGGACGCGCGGCGGTGGCGGCTCCGCGCGCGGCGCTACTCACTCTGCGACGAGTCCGCCGCCAGCAGGACGAGCAGCAGCGCGGCGCCGAGGGGCGCCGCGGGCTGCGGCATGATGCGGCGGCGGCGGCGGCTG